AGGAGCATCATCAAACTTTGAACCTTTCGCACCATTAATAGATATATTTATAAGATTAGGGGAAGATATTGTAATGTTATATAAAAAGGCAGAACACAATAAACATTTACGTAGTTACTTAACGGAGCGGGCAAATTCTGCTGTAGCAGTTATAAAAGATTTAGAAATTCGAAAACAAGATCATTTCGAATTCTTTGGTGAACAAACTAATCTTCAGCTTATAAAGAATTTTGCAAAACGTATGCTAGATGTTAGAACATTCATTACAAATGTTTCTCAACTTGGTTCATTTGGTAACTTTTTTGAAGCTGGTGATATTGTACAAATGTATAAGGATTTGTCGATTAGGTTTGATGAATACATGAATTCTTTAAATCATGCGATGAAGAAAATTACATATCAATATCTTCAGCAAAATTTGGATTCCCGAACAGCTAATTTAGATAATGAAATCAAAAATTATTAAGGCAGATTTGGCAGAAATGAAAAAGGTAAATTGCATACAAATTTTGCGATGAGCTTATAAATCATTTGTTCCATGTTTAAACATAGTGAATACTAAATAATCACATCTATTACATCTATTATAGTTCATGCTTGATATGTTCGATGATAAAACTGGTTCGGTCAAAAGCGTCTTTACAGATATTAAAAGGATTAGAGATTTAAATGCTAGTTTTCAAAAGGAATTACGTAAAGGCATTGAAGTCTCAATTGAGGCTCCAACCTTCTTAAATTTTGACGATTACGAACTTATATTAGATTCTAAACCTCATTGTAAAAACATTCATCTTAGACGGAACAAGGTATCCCTTTTAGAATATGAATTTAAAGCAATTCCTCTGAACTACTACGATGAGAAAACTGAAAAGGAAATTGATCGGCAAGTTGCTATTCTCAAAGAATTAAAATATTCAGAACACATTATTAAGATTTATGGAATAGCAAAAGCTAGTGATGTATTGAGATATTATCTGGTGACAGAGTGGATGGAGAATGGTACTTTACAGCAATATTACAAAACACATACATTGGATTGGAATAAAAAATTTGAATTTTCCATTGATATTTGCCGAGGAATTGCTTTCTTAAATGCTATAGAAGTATGTTGAATATTCATTTAATTTACCAAATAATTCTATATCAAATGGTAAATTTATTTCTAATTTATATATTATTGATGCCAACAGATTCTTCACCATGATATCAGAGGTGCAAACATATTAATTAGTAGCAATCACAAGGCTAAAATTGCTAATTTTGGCGTTTTTGAGTTAAGTCACAGGTTCAGTAGTACAAATCAATTTAATCTCGATTATGTAAGATATATGTCACCTGAGAAATTAGAAGTTTATAGGTACATATTATTCAAATATTCAAAATATTGTCAAATTTACATAATTATGTTTATTCTAATTTGACTAAACATCAAAATTATTATATTAGTTTAGGAGCACTTTTATGGGAAATTGCTGAAGAAGCAATGCCTTATACGAGAGAAGGAATAGATTTTCAGACTATTAGAGACCGTGTTGTCAATGAGAAATATCATGAGCCATTTTATTCAGAAGTACCTAAAGTTTGGCAGGACATTACAATATCTTCCCCTAATCTTATAAATATATCTATTAATGGTGCGAAAGGTTCAAAGTTTGATGATGCTCCT